CCACTCAATTCAAGTTCCAACTGCCTGTCAACTCTCGGCTGCTGGGTGTGATTTGCACTGGTGCACAGTTTCTGTATGAGCCACCGGACATGTTTACCGAACGCCAATGTATTGAAGGTGTCATTTGACTGTGAACTCTTGGTCTTGTTTTTCTTGGGTGAGCTGCGCGCGCGCACAGATGTGGACACGCCACTCTATCAGGTTTTCACGAGGGTTGGGTCAAGTAAACAAGTTGCGTGAACCATAGGGCTTGGTCAGAGCCGTGATCCATGGTGTATGGATCATGGTCGTAGCACCGCGGAACGATCCATACCAGGGTTTTTGGCCATGCCCAAATGTCTCTATAGAACATATTATATAACATATTATATAACCACCATGCAAGGTACATACCTATACCCGCTTTGTGCCTCAAGTGGAGACCCCCCCCCGCCTTTGTTCAAGGTTAACGGGGGGTGGTGGACCAACCATCCCGACATATCCCGACCATCGGCCATGGAAAGGTGTTCAGTCGCTCTTCAAAAGCATATTCAACCTGAAGATGTTTACGGAGCCTCGGCGCCGCAAATTCGTATGCATTGATGTCGGGCATGACTCCCACTTTGCGGAGAGGTCTGCCACATGGTGTGATCATGTGTGATCAAAGGGTAATGACACAATGGTTCCTACCAGGACCCTCCAAGGGGTGCCCAATGGAAGCCTATAGGTAGTGTGGGGTAGTCCATTGAACAACCTTTGGAGGGTCCTGGTAGGCTCCTGGGATTTGCTGGGGTGCCAAAGCCGGAATATGCGCACGGCCTGTGGGGACTCCGTGGTGATTCCAGTCACGCCGAGGGCACCGGACGGACATTTGCTTGGTCGTCCCACTCGCCCCGGTCACCGCAATGTGTGCCTATCAGCCAAAGAAAACATGTCGGAAAAACGAAGATTCCGAAGAACGGCCTTTTTTATTTTGCATCATTTTTCAATTCGTCGTTGAATCGAATTGGTCATATTGTGTCCAATTGAAGTCAGTTGGCTGGGTTTGCCTGTCCACGGGTGGCTATTCCTTGAGGTTTCTATTCTGTGAGCCGTTGCCCAGTCAGCGCAGTAGACGGCGCGCCCAGAAACTAGTTGTTCAGGTTCTTTCAGGTTTGGTTTGAAGATCCGAGTTCCAGTCGTCGGGGTCTGTGGAAGACGAGACCTTCCGTTTCGTACGGCAACCACAGGCAACCATGTCCATGGATGTGTCCTACTCTCTTGCAACGGTCAGGGGCCTTCACCATGTTTGTCGAGTTTTGGCCCCTTTTCCTGTGTTGAGCAAGTGGGGGCATGATTTCCCCTCGTGGAGACGTAAAACCGCAGTCTGTAATATATAAGTCTACTTGACCTTGATTGTTGCATCCAAGTGTGTACACTTGAATCACACCTGTCTTTAGTGCACATTGTAGCGTTGTTCCGTGCTTTTAAAAGGCTCGCTTATTGTTTATCCTCAATTGCTAGTCCAGTCGTCACCTGAGCGACCAATTTGGGCAGTCCTGGCTTGCAAGTGAGGACCGTTGCAACCGTTGCAAGGGTAAGTCGTGTGAGCAATTATGTCCATTCTGGTGTTCCGTTTTGTTAATTTTCTAACTGGTTTATTACCCGTTTGGATACCCGGCGCCACTGGCGCCGGTCCCTGACCTTTGGAAACCAGAAACGTCGCCGGACACAGAAGGGCACAGATAGAAGCAAGATAAAGAAAGAAACGCGGAATGAAACATGGGGATGTTTTGTAGAACACATGGACCAACAAACTCGACTCTTGCGTCCTCGGCCCTTTTAGTTCAATCTCAGCAGGGTGTCGTGCCCCCCACGTGCCCCGGCCGGGCCTTAAAAGGCGTGTGCCGGTCGCGTGCGTTTTCCACCGCCGAGGAGTTCATGTCCATCTCCGTGTTCCTGTGGGGCACCATGCTGCCGGAATCTCAGGGCGGGTCGTTGCGGGTCGTTGCGGCGTTGGTCTGATCAGTATGATCCGGGCTTGTACCTGCAAAATGCAGATGGACCTGAGGATCATCGGTTCCTGAACAAGGGGCAAATCCTATTGTTGCAAGGGGTTGCATATGGCATATGACAAATTATAACCCTTTATGGTCCGATGCTTAGAAGGGAGATGAAGGGAGCTACTGTAAAGAGCTGTCCTTTTCAAACGAAGCCAGGGAGTATTGGTTAAGTTTTGTCATCGTTTAGTTCAACGCGTTGCCCTCAGCCGGACTATATTCATTCAGTTCGTCTTGGAATCCCCTTGGAACGCGTGGCTCAACTCCCGCGTGGCCGCACTGAACCACTACCGCGGGACACTCGTTGCCGCCCTTGGAGTTGGCTTTGTCGGGGGAATGGCCCTGACGTGGATTGTTCTCCGCCTTTTTGGATTGATGTTTTAAGTTCCAATCCACCTTTTAAGATCTTTTGAGAGACTTTTGATTTCAGGCTGAGGTCAGAGACCACTATACTGTATACTTATTAGGTTTTGTTCAAACCCAAACATGCCAATAGCACCACACTTCACCCAAATCCTCACCCAACAACAAAACCTCCCGGTCTTTCCACCAACAACAAGAACTCACGCTGCGGGCTCGCCACCCGGGCCACCGCTGGTGCCATCAGGTTCTTTGCTTGGATCTCTGTGACGACGTTGGGTTCTTGGCACGCCGTGGCCTACAAAGAGGCGTGCCTCGGGTAGACCGACCGTGCGTGCCTCGGGGTTCACCGTGCGGCCTCGGGTGGACCGGGCGTTGTGCCACAGTGCGCGTCACACAACACACACACAATACATCACAATACAGTGGAGGACATTCAGGTAAGAGAGTGTCTTTTTTGTTTGTTTCGGGGTGCGTTTCTAGGTGGTTTCCTTGTTTTTGTGTGTTTGTATGCATTTATGTGTTCAATTGTTGCTGTTTTCAATGATCTGCGGCAGTTCCACCCTCAGCTCACGAGTGTCCTTTGGCGATGAGAAGTTCTCACGATGAGACTGGGAATCAACGAAATCAACATATACCAGGACCCTCCAAGGGTGCCCAATGGAAGCCTATAGGTAGTGTGCACCCCTTGGAGGGTCCTGGTATATATATGTATTTTAATAGAGAGACCTCCCAACCGGATTGAGTCTCGGTTTGATTTTCCCAGAGGTCGAACTGAGGGGGTTCCCTATTTTTGTACACACCCATGATATGTCTATCTTTGTGCTGTGAGGAGGGAGAGCCAGTCTACGTGAACAAGGACATCGAAACCTTGCCTGCCGCCTTCTATTCGATGCTCCCAAGCGGCAGAAGGCTGGAGAAACATGGTATTTGTTCGGAGGGGTCAGACCGGCTGCACCTTTTTCTCTTTAGGTGGGTGCCAGCGCAACGGATCGACGAGGGTGTGTGGAGAAAAGGGGGTCAGAAAAAATCACTTATACGAAGTTAGTGCATCAAAAATACAAGTACCTTCCACGAAGTTCTGCGAAGGTTTCTGGGATTTCGTTGCAGTCAGTTCTCCTACTGGCCCACCATTCCACGAACTGTCCACGAATAGCCTTGGGTTCTACGACCATGCAACATCCATACCCTGGTGGGGCCCCTCACCGGACCGGTTGACCGGTCGAAGACAGTGGAGCCTCGAGAGGCGGAGCCGGAGTTGTGGTGGTTGGATCCCCCTTCTTTGGATCTTTTTGGGGGCGGCGTTCCGGAGTGCGAGGGCCCAAGCAAAGGCGCAGAGTGAAGTTTGGGGGCTTGGGAAGCGAACAAAAGGAGAACAGTTGGAGGCTTCATGTTTAGGAGTTTGGAGGATTTATAGTCCCAAGTCTTGTGGGAGTTTTTTTTTTGGTGACCAGTGACCAGTGTCTTCTTTTGTTGTGATCATTGCATGTCTCATCGTGAGGATACCCTCGAACCTCATCAGAACCAAGCGCGCGGAAAGCAATAAGACCAGGAATCGATTATGGTCCTTTACCAACTTGCCAACAGAGCACTCTTCATATAGATAGGAACTATATTGACCTGAACACCAACGGAGATGCTCGGCTATGCTCGGCTGCTTGGGGAAGCAAACCGCGTGGGGGAACCCACCGAACCACCGCAGCACCAAGGTTCGTTGCGGCCGTCACGGGGGAGTACGTCGATGTCCCTCGGACGATGATGACTTCCGGTTCGTTGCGGCGGTCACTGGGGGGTGTTTGATTCATTCGATCAACTAGATTCTAGATTTAATCTGAATATACACTACAGCTGAATATACTCTAGATTCTATAGAATTTAGCATGATTCAGTCAATTTAATCTGAATAATTAGCTTTATACATTTTGTACTTTCCGGGGAAGACCACACCACCCAAAGACCGAGTTCCGCAAGTGGTTCTTGTCCATCGTCCTAGTTTGTCCAGGCAATCCACAATCAGTGGCCTAAGTCCTAAGTAGATCAGATGCTCTCTCGAAGACCGGTTTCCCATTTCGCTGAGGTCTTAAAACTGGAATTGGAGCTTACTATAATCCCTGACAATCCATGGGACTGGCACATGTAGGGCGGTGGTTGAATTCGTCGTTGGACAGGGAATTCACTGATGTCAGGTACCCAAAGCTTCAAGCAATCCAATTACCCAAAATGTTTTCCTTCCAAAATTGCGGTAATTCCTAAAGTATAGATTCTGCAGGACTAAATACCTTGCCCAGTAGGATAGCCAGGAACTGCTGTGCTACTGTACTGCTTTATGACCAGAGTGGACAGCCACCCCCCAAAAGCGGAGTTCCTGTCCATTTGGTGCCAAAGCAAAGTAAAATGGTTTAAAGATGCAACCCAGTCCAGGCTTTTGAACACCAATGCCCCAAACATGTCACCACCACCACCACCACCATTGGGCATTGTCAGTCGCAGCAGTGTTTTTTTTAGATTATATTCATCCACGTGTGCAGTTTTCACGAAGCGATCAACCAACGCTTTTGCGTTCGTTTGACGTCTCCCCATTCGGCTTGTTCCTTCTCCGCGCGTTTGGCGCCTGTTCGCCGGGGCTCAAAGTACCGAATCATTTCTACGTGTCGATCCCGTGGCTATGGTGTACCGCGTGGGAGGCGAGATCGCCATCGGTTGGCGTTTTGGGGGGGCAACGGGGCGAGTCTCGGGGCCCAGGTGGAATCGGCAGCTTCTGCCGCATCCGGTGGAAGGATCGGACATTCCGGGCAGTTGTTCTGAAGTGGATTTCCGTGTGGACACAACCATGATATCACATGAAATCACTAGCAAAGCAGGACAGGGGCTGCGGCTATTGTTGTTTTTGTCGAACCTTCTACGTACCAAATCTATGTTCAGGAATGTTCAGGATAGTGTTCAGGATAATATGAAGGTGGAATGAAGTGGAAAGAAGTGACCAAAACAAACGGAAAGAGATGGTGAGAGAAGTGTCAAGTTCGCTGGAGTGCTTTTACGATAAAAATTCGCTGGAGTTCCTCGGTGGGCCGAGGAGATTTGCATTGGTCAAAGCAGTAAGTCAAAGGCGAAGGTCGGGATGTTTGTTCAACGACTCGGTCACGTTCTTCACTCGCACGACACGACACACCAATCATACCAATCTGGTTAAAATATCTTGAGGGAGACAGAACAACTGGGTCTTCAAGTTCTGTTTTGAGCCGTGCCACGGTAAAGAGTTCATGGCAGTTGGTCCGGTCTGAACTTCCCAACATCTCAAGGTGACCATCCTGAAGTGTCGACCATCTCCACGTGATTTGACTATAGACTGTTTCTCATGTTTGGCTTTGGGCCACCCCAAAGCTTTTCATCGACCAGTTCCATGCGCCATGTTTGGAGTGGAACCAACCAGGCTTGCTCCTTCTGATCTGTGGGCTGGCAGGCGCTGTCGGGACAATCACATGTGATATTTTCACGTGTTTTTCGTAACACAAGCGCTTGACGACCTTCAAATATATGGTGTTTGCCACCTTGTTAAGTTGGGCAAGGCCGCTTTGCATGGACAAGCGACAAGACTGAATATTTCTTGATGTGTGCTTGCCAAAAAAATCAAGGCTAGGAAAACGCACAGAAACTGCCAAAACTGGGCCCGTGGACAAGTGAACGACCAGAATGTGAGGGTGTTTCTGGAAGAAGGCAGTGCTGTTCTTGCCGTGCGACATGTTGTATGTACTTTGGCGGGTGCTCTTTCCGCTTACGCAACTAGGTTTACAGAGGGTACGTATGGCCCTGAAATGAACACCGAGTCCACTTGAAAGGGTCTCTTAATTTAGTGTACTAGTATATATGTAGACTGTATGTCGACCCCCATCTTATTATGAAGAGGTGTCAAACAATCCAAATGGATTAGATAATACCATCAAGATTGAATCGAATGCTTGTCATCAGTCCAACGGAGAATCTTTGAACACCATGAAGAGAATCCTTCGTCGAACAGGTCTTTCAGAGAATCCCTTGTCATCCAACTTCTTGACACAACTTCTTGGTTGAATTTTGACATTTTGAAGATCAGCTGCAGAAAAAATCAAAATATATACCCCAAGCTTCCAACACACATTGTAACAATAGTCGTTCCATGAACAACTATGTCCAAAATAGTCGATATAACAACGATCAACAACAGTTTCGACACGAGCACCGGTGAAGCGACACCGGTGTCGGCACGCAGGTGCGGAGACGAACGACGATTGTGCCATGACACAGTTGCGTAAGGTGAACGAGCACCATGAGGCGAGGTGTTGGGCGCGCCCAGTGTGTCTTTTTGCAGGTCGCGTCGTGGGGACGGTCCAAGCACGGCTGCTGTAGGGTCGGGCTAAGTGGGACACCGATCAAGGTTCCACATAGGAGGTGCAACTTGTCTAGAGAAAGTGGACTCAAGTGAAAGCAAGTAGTGTCAAACGGCCAAAGTATCCAAAGGCTGGGCTTGACGTTTGGCCAATCAGCATGATACAGCAGATCCAATCATGGAGGAGTCCGCGGGAAGTTTCAAGTTATCAGACTGCATGGAACTTTAGATGGAGACAACTCGCATTGAGCTGCTCCACTGAACAAATGCAGCACAATGCAAGTGACCCAGGATTAGGCGGACATAGCTGCAGAAACACTAATCCTAAGTCATTAGGAAATGTTAATATTTGACATTTTAGCACTAGTCCTAAGTCATCAGGCTAAAACAATGAAAAAGCGGCCAAAAATTGTTAGCTCCGGATTTGCCTCGTACAGTAGTCCTAAGTCATCAGCATTTAGTTGGGACAGGGTTTCTACCGTGCACATTGCAGTTCGCTGATGACTTAGGAGTATGGAACAGCTGAACCTAAGTCACTGGTGACCACAAGTCCTAAGTCACTGGTCGCCAGTATACAATAAACAATAAACACTGAAGTGAGCTTGATGCTCGTACCATAGGTCTACACAAAGCAGGCTGAGTGCAGGGTAATCGTATAGTTCAGCTCAAAGGCCTGTCCAGGTTGGCCGCTTCGGCGGCGAACACACCTACGGTGGTGGTTTTGGTGTTGCGAACTTCGCAGGTGAAATTGGATGAGAAGACCAATGACACGAGCCAGTCGGCCCAGACGCACCTGGGACCTGAATTTGGCGAACAACGATGAAAGACGCAGCGAAAACGCCTCATAAAGCAGCGTCCAAGCTAAGCCATCCTCCGACTTCGGAAGACATTGCTGGGCTTTGGCAAACATCTTGCCAGCACCCACAGCAGAAAGTCACTGGTTCCAGTCTCTCGACGATGCTTCCAACCAACCTTAAAGGCTTTGGTAGAACAACGTCGGAAGAAGTTCAGGCCAAACAGCAGTCCTCCTGTTGCTTTATTCATTTGAGTCATTTTGAGTTGTTCCAGTTCCGTTGCACCGAACTGCTGGGCGGAAGCTTCTCTTTTTGGGGAGTCTAGAGAAATCAGAGAAGCTTCTTTACGGGATGATAAAGTGATGAAGGGCTGTTCCTTTTTAGGGAAAGAGCCAACATTCACTAGATGTATCCTTGCAGGATCCTTTTGAGGAGGGTACATTGACATATATGTACATACAGTCTTCATGCACATTTATTTTGCTTCCATTCCATTCCACGAGCGGTGGCGCGTGTATCTCGTGGTCCGAAGTTTGCATGCACTCTGCAAAGAAAAAGACAAGCGGCCACTTTTTAGGCTCATAAAGTTCTGACTGTTTGCAGCATCCTGTCGCTCACTTTACCCAGTAACAAGGTGTCATGTGCACACACATACACACACCAGATCTAATTTGGGTGCCCAGAATGGTTTATATATTATAAGGTTGCCAGATGAAACCTCATGAGTTCGATAGGTTTTGATAGTGAACACATATCCCTGTCCCGCACGGTCTCAAACTTTGATCTAACAGGCAGGCAGCACATGTCGGGATGTCGAACATAGAGAGTACCGGAATTCTGCGGAATTCCCGACCGATGTACTGGTAGAAGAGGGCAGGTCAACGTCAGAAAGCACCCGGACTGGGAGGATTCGTCGATTTTCGAAACAGACCAGGTCCCCAGACCCCGGGCCTCCCGCCGGCCTCCCGCCGCCAGCGACCGTTCGCGCGACCCGCGACCGTTCCCGCGGCGAACCGTTCCCGCGACCCGCTGGCAGGGACGATTGTCCGACCCCTTGCGTACTTGAGGAAGCGACGAAGTCCCTTGGTTTCGAAAGGAAGGGAGGTAACGTGGTGACGTGTCTCGGGACGATGTGGCGCATGTTTGTTGGAAAGACACGGAAGTGGAGGGATGGAAGGAGAGGATGAGCAAAAATGATCCAAGAAGGACGATAAGGACGTTGTAAGACCATGTAAGACCAACATAGACCAACATGTTTTGGGTTGCTTGTAAGACTTGAGCAAGACTGTGGACTGTGGTGTTGTTTCATGAATCAAGACCCTATAGCCTATAGCTGGCTGTTCAGTCTTGGGGTGCTTGTGAAGAGGTCAACACCCAATGATTGACAGTGGCAAGCTGTGGTGACTGGGAGTGACATCGCGACAACTGCGTTTGGTCTCATCCGACCCCAGAGACGGCTGAATCAACCTCAGAAACGGCTGAGTTGCGCAGAGACCGTTGCGTACACCAGCGACATCAGGCCCCTGCCTTTGCCGCGCCAGCTTTCATTTTTTTCTTCAAAGCTGTAGTTTGACTGGAGCATCCAAATCCACATCTTGATCATTCTTGACAGATGATTGTTCCACTTTAAAGACCAGCAAGTTTTAGTCAGTCACTCGACATACGGTGTGCTCAAGATCCAGAGTTTGTGCTTCCACCCACACGAGGATGTTGAGTTTGGCATTGTCCAAGCTCTTTGCAGCCAGGGTTAACAAGCACCGCCTTTACCTTCTTTTCCGGAGAGCTTTCGCCCTGAGGATTTGCCAGCAAGCGCAGAACAAAGGATTCAGCTTCAAAACAAATTCTTGCAGCTTCAAATGCAATGCGATGCTTGACCTGATATGGATTGATATGGTGAAGTGACCGTGACAGTGACCGTCAAATCGACCGCTTCATGCACCTTGTTACACTGTCGTGGTAGGGCAGAGACGGAACGGAGTTCTGTCGTTGTCTAGTGGCGGTCGAAAAGAAAATTGAGCCGAAGAAAACTCAGTATTGTGGCCCCCAATAGAAACGGTGTCCAAATGTTTCCAATACATGTTTAGTGGGAGTTACCCTTTTAGGGGTTTGTATAGATTTCATATTACCCCACCTTACCAAAGGCGTGCGCATGGTTACAATGAGCAAGCACATAGACTGGTGCCATTGCTCAACAAGAACCTCTCCCTATATTGTAAAAACATATCAACAATACAAAATATATATATCATATATCGATTATCTACATATAATAGACACATAATAGACACAACAAAATTCGAGCTACACGTTGCGACGGTTTAGCCTCGAACTCCGAACTCCACCCGTTTTGGTGCCCACGGTCGTTGGTGGGCTGCCTGCAACACGGCTACGGTCGTTGGACGATGATCTTTGCGTCACGGAGAATTCTAAGGAAAGGCAAGGTGCAGAATTGGAAGGGCCCCACCCTGGCGAAGCTGCTGCATCATCCCTGCCAGGACAGCCACGAGGGTCCCGCGGCCTATTGCCAGAAGAATCCCTCGAAGCTGCTGAGGCCGCAAAAGGAAGCAATTTCCGGAGCGAATGAGATCATGGTTTCGGTGCTTCTTGGGGAGAAAAGAACATGAACCAAATACAGATCTCAACGTGTTGGACATGTCCATGTCCCGTGCGTGGCGGATGTCAGAGTAGGACTCCTGCAGGTAGTAGTTTGGCACGCGAGACTGAATGCTATAAGAAGATATCAGAAATGGGGAACACTGATGTTAACAATTTCTTCCTTGGTGCCAGTGTCTCAGACTCCAAATCTTTTACTGTAGATTGAACAACTCAGTTTTTCCTCGCCCTGCACTGCGCCATGCTGCGGTCTTTGTTCAGGTGTGTATTTTTTTGTGTTTTTTTCGTGCGTTGTGGTTCCTTCTTTTGTGAACAAACAAGGACTCATAGACACCCTTCCTACTCTACGCTGGCGGCGATGCAACTTCGACTCTTTTCTGCCAAACACCTCGCGGTCGACCTGAGGTTTTACAGGGATAAGACGTGCAGCATTCAGTGCTTCAATGGCCAGGCCATGACCGTGGCCTACAAAGGCAGCTTTTCAGTTAGCTCGACGTGTTCGAAGCAGAATTACTTGCTCCAATCCTCGGCGGAGACGTTTCCACCCGTGCCTTGGGCGACGACTTCACCGACCGGAGGGTTCGATGGAGTACTCCGAGTGTGGCGAACTGGAGGGTGCTAAAAGGGTTCTAAGATGGATCAAAGGGGACCCACCTTCCAAGAGGTCTCCAATGGGGCCTGCACTACTTGTGGGTGTCCAGGTGAAGTCGGCGATAGGGGTGATGGCGCCGGTTTGGGACTCGGGATGACTTCAGGCGGCCGCATCACAACCGGTTTGGCAGCTTGTAACATCCTTTGACCTGTCTAAACGTGCGCTTCAGGGAGGATTGGAGGAACAACTACAGACAGTCCAAGCACCCTGCTTAGATCATTGGCAAGACTGCTGGCTGTCCTCTCAAGAACTATATAGGGCTTTCAGGTGATTGTCATAACTCTAGCCCAAATACTCCATGAACTGAATACTCCATCGAATAAATCTATATCTATATTATATATATATGTATGCCTATACATTGACCCCTGACACCACCTCAATGTAGTTTAATACATGCTTTTCAGGGAGTAGTGTTTGGGTAAGGAATTTATAGTAATTACATATAACTATACATATATATATATACAAGAATGCATACATATATATAATCACCATGATGATGTCCAAGCAGCCGCAAACAAGCTCCAACTTCTGGAAAAGTTGACCCTAAGCCGCCCAAGCATATAGGTATTGCTTTGTGGTTCCGCTTCTCATCCGAGGCCTCACAGCTGGCTGACGAGGACGAGGATTGAGGACGTTGAGGACGTTGAGGACGTCCAGTCGATTGAGCCTCCCGGAAGAGCCATGTGTGCTTTTGGAGGCCTTGCTGCGTGTTTAAGGAAGGTGGACTTGTGCTGGCTTAAGGGCGGCCGCCGCTGCTCCAAAGGAGCAGTGCCGGTTGGAGTGACCTTCACAGTTGCTCATTTGCGCTGAACCCGGGATTGGAGAGGATTTTGGAGGTTTGAATTGAAGTCTTCCAACTGTCAACTGGTTGGCCGAATTGGTTGAACCTCGTCAATTTGTTTCTTGTCCACACAACCTCACGATCTCACCGCTGCAATGAGCCTGGTTGGTGACCAATGACAATCGTTGTGGCGCCGGCGATGCTGCAAAAAAAACGGTCACGTCAGAGCACCTGAGAGCATCCATTCTGGTGGACAGGTTTCGTATTTGGGAACCTTTGTTCCTTGGCGTTTTTTTTCATCCCTTTTCATCCCGTTTCACCGTCAATCCGACCATGGACGGGCCGTACCGGAGGGAATCCACCCTCTGAAAATGATCCTGACTCGATCAACAGTCAACAGATACAGCCCCCCCAAAAAGACAATTGTTGGCAAAGCCTTATAAATCGCCATGGGAGTGTGGGAGAGTCCTGGTTGATCCTTGCGAGAAGAGCTGCAAGCGGAGTTTTTGGTTGGGTGGGACATGACAAATATGACTTTTTGTTTGACCAGAACAAGCTAGAAAACACTGAATAGAGCACTATGGCTCTGTGACCGCTAGCTATGATATGAAAACCTATGGAGCCCATTTTTTCTTCCACAACGCACACGTCCGTGACCGACCGCACGGGAGCACCCGCGAAGAAACACCGCGACACGGGCGGCTCAACACCGGTGTGGGCAGCTATCGAAGCTCGCACGAGTTCCCAACGCCAGCAGCCAACGTGTGTTGCTACGATGTACCGTGTGGCAGGCGAGATCCGGGGGAGCCTTCAGACGTTGAAGAGACAGCCATATGTTTGGTTTTGAATGGGGGGAAATTCGAAAAGTCGCCCTAAGCGGTGTTCTAAAGTTGACAGAAGCCAATTGTTGTTTGGGTCTAATCTACTGCCACTTGTTACTGCGGGAGAGTTCAGCACATGAAGGTGGAAAAGGGTCCAGCTTGGAAGAAGTATACGCATGTCACGTATCAACACACATACAGTATTAACAGATACTGGCCTTTCGTGCTTTCGGACAAGAGGTCCGGGGTTCCATGGGTCCGTTGGGCTCTTTGGATGTCCATCCCAGAGGTTAAGTGACCTGAACCAACCCGCATTTTACAAAGTCAAGAAATCACTTTTGCAATTCCAGTGCCCGTGCTCGCTTCCAAGTCCACCAACTTAATACAACATGACTTAAGAGCTGCAAGTCATTTCAACCTTTAGACATGACATGTTGACTCATCTTCGGTCCCACTACGACCCGAGTCAGCTCATTGAACGTGGTCACTTATAGGGTGACTTGAGACAGTTTTGTGTAGAATTCATTGACATTTTGTCCAATTTCGACTGCATTTAAGGGATTCACCTCAGTAAAGATAGGGCAGAACAGGCCCTCCCCTTACTGAGGTCGGTAGCGCTACCGACCTCAGTAAGCCTCCCCCTGATTTTGTTAAATGCACGAGATATTAATTAGGGTTTGCCTCAAAAACTCGGATTTTGACGCCCCATTGATCAGCACGGTTAGGCCCTCCCCTTAAAATGCACGTCCGGCATTTAATCGAGTCCATCATTGTTTACCAAAAATGGTTTGCAACTTCTAAGTTTATCTCCCACAGAAACTTTTATTAACAGTGACCACATTGCACTCCAAGTGCTGGGAAGTCAACTTCGAAGTCTTACAAAAATGTCCCCGCAAAGGCAAATGACTGTTTGACTCTCTAAAATGCACCCCAGTGAAAAAGGACCCATCACAAGACCGACCTATGGGATAGTCTTTTGATGATGTCTATATGGCAACCAGAGCCATCCTGCAGTGTCAGACCCTTGGAGACCCAGCAGGCCTGCTTTTGATCTGGCTGGCAGGCGCATAGTTGGGACAAGTCGCATGCTATTCGGTTTTCTCTTTTTTTGTAGACAAGTAGCATTGTGTCCAGCGTGATGATGCATCGAATTCTCAGTATTTTGTATTTGTTGCCTTCAGCCCGTGGCCAAAAGAAACCACCCAACGATAGGCAACCTAAAGGCCTGGCATGGACAAATGACAAGACTTTCAATCAGCACAAAATTTGCCCAAAGCTGGGCACTATTTCCTGCCCAGTTGGTGGATCACCTCTCACCGCTCTCACCTTGTTTGGGGATTGGGACCTCCAAATGGCAATAGCTCAACCTTTAGCTCGACTTTTGGCTTGCTATACTCCTACAGTGGATTGAGAGTAGATGGCACTGGCACCCCAAGATGCCTTTGATCTAGGGGTCCATATAAACCACCTAACTTGGGGGTAACTTGTGCCATCTACTCTCAACCAATGGAGGATCGGCCGTTCCGGCGGAGACCAGAGCTGCTGCTTGCGCCCCTTCCCAGCACCGCGTGGCCGCGGGTTTGGGTGATTTCCTCTCAGCGTTTGGGACAAATCCATCAAGCCCTATGGATCCACATCACCACATACCGAACCGGTACGGTGATGTGTTCGACTATTTATGTAGGCGCCAGTCAGTGTCGGGCCCCGTTGTACCATCCCCAAGGCGGCAGTGGATTTTTAGGGAAGGAGAACGGTGGAAAGGCGCCTGGTGGGGCCTACCGTTGAGAAGAATTTCATGGCCGACGCATGGCCTGGGGATGCGACAGAACACTCTAAAAAGGCCGTGTTCCATTGTTCAATCTTTTCTTGCATGACCGCACCGGTTACTAAGAACCAAGAGTTAAAATGTTAAATAGACAAAACATTCAATAGTTAAAGGATGTTAAGGGACTCAGATAGCAACTTAATTGACTCAATAACACATTGACTCATAGACTCATATCATATGTCTCATTGAAGGTACCGACGCAAGTCCACTTAGCACGCTTAGTGGATGTGTCCTAATAAGTGGACTTAGGTCACTTAGGCCTACAGGTGTTCCTGGAAATTTCTATAGATGTTTCAGTGAATTGGCAGTTGTTGGACTATTGGACTAAGTAGGTTGAAAAGCCATCGAAGACACGGAACATATTTGTCCTGGTCGGACGCCATGCGACGCGACGTTTCTGTTTTGCTTGATTTCGTGGTTGGGAATACTATAATCACTTGGGTTTGTCCGAACTTCACCTGTAACTGTCAGTTAACAAGTATCACTATGTTTGAATTATATATATAAGGCCTTTTACTAACCATCATCCACTCTTACTGGTAATTGGATATTATCATATCGCTTTATTGAAATGTGGATGCTGACCTGTCTATCGTCAATCACGCGGGCCGCGTACTTACTTGAATCCAAGAATTCCGAGACTCGAGCACTGTGTCGGCAAATGATGCCCAGACGTCACCGGATCGCAGCTTCAAAGGATGAGCCCAGGAGTCCTCAGTTTCTTACGACCTCCCTTACGATCCCTACAAGGTCCAACGAATCCGGTCAAAAAGACGTCGGGTCGACCTGCTGAGGCGTCGTGTTTTTTTGTGGTTTGATCAACGTCCAACATGAGGGATGGGGTTGCCTAGCCGGCCGAGCGGGGCAACCAGGTTCTTCCCTTGCACATCTTGCATAGTGACTTCAGTGGTAGAATTCTGAAGCTCTCCTGGTCACGCTCTGAAGTCCGCCATGTCGCAGGTGCCGAGGAGACAGAGGATTGCGCCATGACCCAGTTGCGTAAGGTGAACGAGCACCATCAGGCTATCTCACGTCTGAGGGAATGCCAAAGGCTATCTCACGTCTGCAAGAACAAGAGATTGCTTCAAAAATGGATCCTGCCAAGTATCCAAGAGGATGGAAGAAACATGAAGTATCCAGTGGCCACCTTCAACTCATCGGGACGAGATGACGGAAAAGCGTTGGAAGCGTGGTGTGCTAAAGCGACAACCCCACTGGTCAACTGAACAAATGGAAGCGTGTAGGCTGTTGTTTCTTTACTCTTGTTGACCAGTTGGGTGCTGGGTTCGTTTTTGGGCGGTGCTTGCTTTGGCTCGGAAGTACACCTCTTGGGGACAGCTCAAACGAAAAAACAGGGTTCGGTGGAAGAGGTTGAAAGCGGCAGAGTCATCTGGACACTGACACTCCACGACCTGGCTGGTTGGCCCTTATAGGGCCCGCCAGCTGGCGTGGCCCTGGCTTTTCCTTGCGCCATGAGACCCTTTTTTCACATGTTTCAAGGGCTTCGTTTTAAGGGAAAAAACCCCATGAAAACCCCGCTTTTCGTGTTCCCTGACCGTGTTCTCTTTGGCTCCGCGACCTTCTCGCTTTCACGGTCGCCTCCGCCAGGCGGACTCGGAGGAGACGACCGATGAGAGGAGCCAGTCGGCCAAGCACCTGGGACCTGAATCAGGCGCTTGACACCCCAAAGCAGCGGGAAGTGGAGGTGTGAAAAGGAAAAGGCTATCCAAACACCTTGGCATTTTTTGCGCCAGAGTACACGCGGGGGAGCTCAAACACCTTTGCACCGCAAGAGGACACACAGGGGGGGTGCTGATCCAGAATATGTTAGCTGTGGGCGATCAAACGTACGTATGTCGAAGAGGACACCCCTGATTTTTCTGGGCCGTGAATATGATGATGACGCTCGACCGGCCGCAAAGCACCACGCACAGCCGGAAAGCACCCAGCAGGCACCAACAGCACCCTGAGTTTCGCGCTTTTCTCGCTCGAAGCTGAGACCACCAAATGCCAGACTCTGGCAAGGGTTTACTCTAAGTATATATATATATATAAGCAACCTTAAGTGGGCAGAAGCGGACAAAGAACAAAAACACGATGGCCTCCAACCTAAGAGCGATGGCCTCCAACCTTAAGTGGGCAGAAGCGGACAAACACCTTGTTTCTCACTGATGTTGGTTTCCCACCATATGAGGGGTCCATGCAAGAAACTATATAGTTTTTGTTCAACTTGTGCGGCGCTGGGGTTCCATTCCAGCAGTGTAGAGGGCCTGCGGGACATAAGACCAACATGGACCAAGAGGTTGCTGGGAACTTGTCCCCCAACACCTTGAATGAGAACTGTAGGTTCATTAAACATGATCAAACCGTATTGTTAAATGTTCATACGCCATCATACGTCTATATATATATGTATGGTGCGAAGCATTGGCATAGACCAATGGATTTCGTTGTGATTCGTTGTGGTCGGATGCGTAGCTGCAAACCATGTTAGCTTCGGAGAAAGATGCAACAGACCTATGGTTTAACGAAGGGGTCATGTGGACACATCACTTCCTTTGAAGTTTTGGCAGTTGTGGGCTGGTTCCAAGTGGAGTTGCCCCATGAATTCATGCCTGTTCAGCTTGATCGTGGGCCCTCTTGGTTTCCCGAGGCTCAAAAACCAGAAGCAGAACCCCCAAAACCATCCAAACCCCATCGACCGAATCGTGGAGCCATCCGACCGATCGTCTGCGCGCGGCCGAGTCCCTTCCAAAACATGTGTCCAACTCCCTGCGTGAAGGATGAGGCCATGAAGTCTCTTGGATGAATCGGGAGGAGAAGGCAGCGTGGGAGAGGAGAGGAGCTCAAAGGAGAGGAGGAGCGGTGAGGAGACGAAAGATGATCAAGGTTCATGTTGACTGGTTCATGTTGATAACGTTCTTCATTTACCGAACCAGCTTCCTATAGTCAAAGCTTCTGCTAGAACAACGAACCATAGGCTTCAGCTAGGCCTTGATGAAATGAGACCCCCGTGTTCTACATCTCCAGTTCTGCAGAGTGGGATGGCCGTTGTGGCTTCGGCTGGGTGCGGTTCCGCTGCGTGCCTCAACGGCGTTCGGTGCCTCAAGGGCTTGCGCAAGTCCACTTCCATTGGATGTTATAGACTACAGACCATGCATTACACTTACACCCTGGAAGACTAACATGGAAGTGGAGAATGGCCCCTTGGAAGACTATTTTCCACTACAAACAGGTGGTTTTCCACTTCCATGTTAGTTTTCGGGAGTGTACACCGTACTTACACCCTGGAAGATACCCACACAGGTTCCATGAACATAGACCTTTGGAAGTCAGTGGTGAACAGAGGTTCCATTGTGGGTCTCTTCCGGGCTCGATGAATTGGCCAACGGAGCGTTCTCAGCCTTAGGCGTGTCTCGCGTTGTGCGATGGGAGCGGAGTGAACGAGGCACCACGCGAGGATCGGCGCGATCCGCCCACAAAACGAGACCGACCAAGGACATGCAAGCAGAACAAGGGATACAGCTTCAAAACTGATACGTGCAGCTTCAAATGCAACGGGATGCTTGGCCAAAACGGTGAAAGAGGATGGATTCAGATGGACGAGTCGAACACCGCGTGAACCGGAAAGGCGCCCCGAGAAAACAGCGCCTTTCCCGTGTCGGTGCAGTGTTTCCCCTTTTCGGGGTTGAGAAAGAACGAGCATACGGGTTTTACGCCGCTTACGGAAGGTCTGTTTCGGCATGCCTCGGCGCGGGAAGTTGTGAGAATTCCTAAGGAAAGGCCAGGTGCAGAATTGGAAGGGTCCCACCCTGGCGACGCTGGTGAAGAATCCCTGCAAGGACACCACCAATGGACCAGCGGCCTTTTGCAAGAAGAATCCCAGCGAGCTGCTAAGCCGCGAAACGAAGAAGAGAAGAAATGGATAGAAATGGAGAGCAAAGGGAGCAAAAGATCTTATATTTCTATATGTTTATGTTTATGCAAACGGATCTATCTCAATGGGTTTGAGTGCTTTGGCAAATGAAGTATCCTGCGTGCCTAGCAGGTCTTTCTTGGACTAGATATGGACCGATGACAATGTCGCAGCATTTGGTTGTTCAAGGGATGCTCTGTAAACAGACACGCGACGGGAGCTGCTAAGAAGCAGGGAATGAAGTTCGCTCATTCCTTCATTCATTCATTCATTCATTCACTTATTTTAGAAAGAAGCAGATGTTGTCACTAGCACTGATGTTGACACTTTCTTGTCCGGCGCAGTGTGTCAGACTCTTGAATCTATATAGATTGAGGAGCGGTGTTTGCTGTGAGTGCAACAGTTTATGTTTGTTGTTGTATCAGAAAATAGAAACGAAATGCTTCGTTTGTAGATCAAATCGTCGTGTCAGCTCAGCTTTCTCTTCGGCTCAGGTCCTATGACGATGCGACGTGCGGCTTCAAGTGCCTCAACGGCCAGGCATTATCCGTGTCCTTCAAAAGTGGCAGCTATTCCATCGGCTCGAGTTGCATCAAGAAATCCTTGTTCCAAGCCTCATCTGAAACGCACCCAGCTGAAAACACTGCGCCTCAGCTGCGAAAAAAAAAAAGCAGAGTTGGGGGAACTCTCTCGGACATGCTCCAGCCAGACGTTGCTTTGAGAGAAGCATCGAACTGCAGAGCAAACCCGTATTCTCCAGACCCAAGATGGCCCGCTGTGAACTCAGATGGTTTGGTCAATCAGCTTCAAGGCAGCCAGGTTCAAATCAAGAGCTTTTGCTCGATGGGCACCTTTAGGGTGACTTAAAGATGGGTGTTGCGCTAAAAAATGATTCCAGGGGGTACGTCAATGGGCAGAGTCATTTATGTAGAATCATTTCTCTGGAATCATTTTTTGACAGGGGGGTTCATGGGGGGTGTCAACCCCCCCCCCCCGAGAATAATTTTCAACTTGATGTGACTGATGTACCAGAATCATTTTCACATGTTGCAATGTCATAATTAATTCGCTTTTCTTTTTTTTTTTGCATACTTAAAGTGGGATTCGACCTCAAGACCCGCGACGGGTTTGTATGGCCCGTGACGTGTCCAGATTGTGTAGAGCTGGGAGCGTACCCCTTTTAGCATACCCATGCATACCCCATAGTCAATCATCCAAACGCCTGGGAAACTTAAAAAAGAAAGCATACATCCTGCCGGTGCCCATGGGTTTTCACACATTCTACATTTGTGGCTTTGGAGTGCCCAGGGGTCTACCGAGTATGCGCACTTCTGACGCATTCGCGTAGACGATGCGGAGGATTGGATCCGCATCCATCGGAGAGGGGTCAACTACAAACAGTATCTCCCCAACACACCTTATCTAGGTGATGGTTTCGGATATGTTTATTTTCAACCCTTACTTGGGGATGATTGGACCCTCTGACTAATATTTTTTCAAGTGGGTTGAAAACACCAACCAGTTATCTAAGATCAAAGACTGCTGGTCGCTGTCCCTCAAGATCTACAGCCCTCAGGCGATTGCCATACTCGATAGTGTCACTTGCTCCACTGCTTACGTTGCCAAATGTGGCACTTTGCCGAATGCAGCCACATGGCCGAGGCCTCGCACCTGGCTGAAGAGGATGACGAGGACGCGGACCAGGAGGACGACGGCTCTGCCGAGGAGGAGGAGGAGGAAGAGGATGAGTGAGGGGTGACCTGTGCCGACCAATTTTTGGGGGTCCAAAGCTGGATGTTTGGGCAGCGCTCAAAAGTAGTGCTGCCAAAGTAGTGAGCAGCCCAGAGCACCTTCCAACAGTTAAAACAATTGACCAATACAATTTGATGCGCTACAGGCACGTGTTTTTCCTTGCACTGTTATTTGCCTTTTGTATCCTTTTGTGTTTACATGGCTAGGTTGTTGGCAACATTGATGGCTGCAAGGTGGATATGATATACTGTATTTCTGGGCAGGTTGATGGACAAACTTATGTTGCATCGATGACTGCCAAAAGAAAGCACCAAAAAGACGTTTGCGAGCACATCCAGACTATGTTGCGCGGGGTCAAACCTGGAGCGGATGTGAGGGCCTGGCGTTGCGGTGTGCGAGACAGGCACATCGAGTTGGACAACGACAAGTGGTCGGTTTAAGTTTATGTCGGTTTGGGGGTCGAGGTGGAGGTCCCCGCGTGGAAATTCCATGGTGTGAAGGAGCAATGGAACAAGACACCCGATCCAAGCTTTCTCTACATCCTGGATCAGTGGCAATTCTTTTTGAGTGTTTGAAGTTGCTTCGAGGATCCTTTGGGGTGATATTGTTGACACCCGACATGGCCAGAAACGAGTGGGATCTCCATGGAGATTGGAAGCGCTTTACCACTAGTAGGCCTTCCAAACCACTCCCGTCCCATCCCCTTATTTGTGTTCCACCCAAAACCAGCTAGTGGATCCCGTTCCGAACCACTTTCCTTCGGGTCGTCCCCAGCGGTCGCTTGTTCCAAGGTCTTTTTACCGACCTTGACCGCTTGCCGTGCCACGGGGCTCCTTTGGTTCAGCTTTCTAGTCCTGGCCAAGGTGCGAGAGCTGCCCGCTGCCGCTCGTGCACGAACAGCCCTAGGTTCACGTGTCCTTCAATTAGCTAGGGATGGTTTTGTTTTGTTTGTTTGTTTTTCCAGCAGATTCCGGTCTGGTCCCTCCATACATATGAAGGTCTAAGAGCGTTTGAATGGGTACTGCATGGATTCTTTTCTTCATTTGAGTGGCAAACCATGGTCTCCCATGGCTCAGAGCCTGAACTTGTGCTGGGAAAAAAAAGAATCCGGTGCCTGGATCGACACAAATTCAACTACACCAGATACGTTTTTTGCAGGCCTGTGGAACATGTTTTTCAGTGTATAAGGAGGGGCGCCCCACAATGCACCTTCAAGTGATTTTCTGTTATACCCCAAGCTATACCCGAAACGAGGACACGCACTTGCGCCACAATGCAACACGTGGAACTGATGGTGAGGATAATTCCCTATCCAATAGTCCTATAGGTTCTTTTCCTTGCCAAGAGCTCAATTTCCGCAATGGTATCTGTTTATGTTTTGACTCACTTTCATGGGAATAGACCAAACATGAACCTCTCACGAAGACCATGTTTGCTTCCCTTGTGACCCTTTGTGCGATGCAAATCGTTTGTTTGGTGGCCTTTGTGAAGTCGGTATAGACTCAGGCACCAAAACCGCTTGGAGTGTTGAAATAAGACATGGCCAAATACCCTCGAACATCCTAAAACAAATGAACAGAAGGGCCCTTGCGTGGCTGCTTCAGTTGTGAAAGTGACCGTTGTGAATGTGAATCCTTTACTCTTTGGACCGACATCCCGCAGCAAAAGGTGCTCTTTGAGAGCTTGACCCTGGATACCTTGGTCTCGGCCTATATCAGGCGTGAGCGCGCGTCCTTGGCCCAGGTTCATCCATGGGGTGAACCCCTTCAACGATTCAATCATTCGAAAGCTAGATAGGGTCACTCACAAGAAATTATAAGTCCCCAGACACTCCATGGATTCACTATATGCTTAGATTCAACCCTCTTCAACCATCCCAACTGCTCGGCAAAGATTCCATGGAGTGTGCCGGAGTCGATTTATTATACTCATATGGAGACCAACTGGGTGGTGTGACCAACTGGGTGGTGTGACCAACTGGGTGGTGTGAACCTAGTGGTTAAGCTTTGTTTTCCAAAGACATTGAGTCAGGAAGATGTTGACTTGCACGAGCGGATTGAGTGCTGATGACTTGATGACGGGTTGGTTAGCAGCATTCCCCAGGCGAACATTTGGGAGCGTACCTAGCACTTCCAATGGGTGCCCTGTCTGGAGACCTATAAGTAGGGTAGGGTAGTCTATTGGACACCCAGACAGGATGATCCTGATTTAACAAAACACATAATATACAAATAAATATATATATATATATATATTATAATGTATCATTTGAGGGTGAAGTGTGAAAAAGGTCACTTATATATTAGTATAGGGACTCCAAAAGTGGTTGCAAACTGAATCTTCACTGGATTCTGGACCGTGGCACCCCCATGATTTCCCCCGAGTCGCATGGTTTCGTTGGCGTTCGTCAATGGCACCCAACGGAGACGGAGTTGGTCCAACGTGCGCTGAGCGCCCCGCCTCCGCCTCCGCCAGGGGAGCCAAGGCCTCCAAGGTCGAAGCCCTGGAGGTTCGCACGCGAGGCAGCCGGGTCAGGGGGGAAAGGCGCGGCGACGGACCGCGGCGGAAGCAGCGCGGCGGTCGGGTAGTATATTGGGGGGAACCCTTTGGGGGAAAAGCATGGCTGGAAGGGGAGTTGATGCAAGGGCCAGGGACATGGAAGGCGGAAGGTTCGGAGGCAGGAACTGGGGGATCTTGGTGGTGAAACTGACTTCGCTTTGTCGGTGTTTTGAGAGATTTGACACGGAGTCACTCCCTTCATCACTTTACCCCTAGGCCCTATAGACATGATTTCAGATGAATACAGCAACTCGTCCAAGCGCAGGGCCCATGGGCTACCAGCAGTTTCAGTTCGGGGCGCCGACCTTGGAGGCCCAGGATGCGGGGGCTCCAAACCCTTCCGACATGGAACTGGTATACTTTGCGAGGTGCTCCATTGGTCGTTGAAGTCGGCCATGCCCAACAGACTGTTTGTCCAGGCACATTGGCTGCTTTCGAAACCTTGGCTTCGGTGGAAGAGGAGAGGGGTTCACGTGGGGTGCTTGGGCGCCAGGTCGGGCTTGCTGGTTGGGAAGCTACGAGACATGGCTCTCGCTCTGTGGGGTGCCCCTAAAACCCCTGGAAGACATGGCAACGGGCGGGTCCCTGGCAGGATACTGGCGTTCCCGATCAGTCCCTATGTCTAGCGTCTTGTTTTTGTTGAGCCACATCCCTATGCCAGTAATTACGGAGATCACTTGAAGGGTTTAGGGTTTAGGATGGTTTAGGGTGGTTCTGCATAATTATTTACAGTCAACATCACCCGATTTCCATGCTCAGAAAAGAAGATGGCATCATGTTCCAGATGTGTTGTTCTGTCCCAAATGATCTGGCCATACTATTCTGCTATCTACTGTTCTCGAGGTCTTGGCCATAAGGAACCTGGAAACCGTCCGGCACCCTGGAGACATTACAGTTCTGAAGGTGACCTCGCCACTGGACTGGTGGGTCATACACCAGAAGTCAAGGTCATAGTATGAGCAACTCTAGAATTAAACCCTCCCTGTCCCTGTTCATGTTTAGTGGTGAGAGGCCTTTAGAACCGTACATTGTGGTACATGTGTCGTTTTTTCCAGCAAAGTTCCAAACTATGAGTCGTGATGGTGTCGAGAACAAAGAGCTGTTGAATGGCTTTCTTCATGTGGAATCGTTGTTGCGAGACTTTCAATAGTATTCTATTACCAGCTTCTTCAAAGTGACCTTTTTGGAGTCCCCAAGTGACCTGTTCCAGGCCTAAGACGTCAAACCAGGATGTCAAAAGGCCACTTTGAAGAACCAGGTACAAGGAGCTTGCCAATCATGAGCTTTTCTGGTTGGGATAGTATCATTGATCATGCACAGGGGTTCGATCATCGTGGGCCATGTGGGGCCATGTTGCATGACTGGGAGGAATCATGGTTGCAATTCAATAAAGACACATCTACCCACCCCCTAACCCCTGAAATAGTTCAGTTAATTACACATGGTCTATCTTTTGGATCCATCAGGGAATGGAGTGAGGATCGATGACCATCAGGGAAGAAAGGAAGCTGCATTGGTGTCCCCCTGCTGTGTTGGAACGGCGGCCCAGCTGGGCCTTGGATTCGCTGGCACGTGCTTTTTGGGTTCACCGCCCGGCACAGCCGGCCGACAGGAGGAACATGGTGAAGTCCTGTCCAAGGACTGGGCGCCCAGTCGATGAGCGTGGGGTGGACGCTGTACTTGTAGAGGTGAATCGTCATCCAACGCGTCGGAGTGTACGTACCGACTCTTCCAAAGGATCCCTTAGCTGGGCAACATGCCGCAACCAATGTTGCATGATTTGTTTATATAAGTCATGATGACCTTTAAAACCCAGGATGGTTTGTTGATTGGTCGGTCGGTCGGTGGTTGGGTGGGTTGGATGGTTGGTTAGTTTTGTGGGTTGGTTGGTTGGGTTGGCGGGTTGGGATGGCTAAGGCTGACATTGTCAGCTGAAAACCACTGTCGGGTTGTAGAAGAACATCGTCTTCGTTGCAGGTCCATTTTGCCGCTAAACAGCTGTGGGTCTCTTCCGTAGTTGCCTGGCCGCGTCTTCCCACAAAGCTTGAACTGGAACAACGGCAGCGGTTGATTTGCCTCGTCTTCTTTGCTTTCGCTCGTCCTGGCCTGAGAAAGTGGCTTTCTGGTTCTGCGCTGCTTGAAGCCACTGACTGGTGACCAGCGAAATCCGTGACCACGTTCCTCCACGCTTCTTCCGCCACGTTCCTGTCGGGGGAGGAACTCTTTCTGGAATTTGTCAATGTCTTCAGCAGGCAGGACCGCAGGGCCGGGCTGGGCCGCGCTCGGCGGTAACGTGTTGTTTTTTACGTGTTTGTTTCTAATTTGTTCATCAATGCGAAAAGAAAAACAAAGAAAGACACCTGCCGCTGACAAGCCTTTTTTGGTTGAGTGAGACGAGGGCCGGTTCGGACCCTCTTTGAGAGAAGGTGGGAAGCAACCCAGTGACGAGGGCTTCATCATGATGAGGGCAAACAATATCCCATGCACTCCATGTATGACGCATTTACATGCATTGACCACCACCCAAACTAATGTGTATAATACGACATAGGGAGTGTTTTGGCATGTTCATATATGACTCAAGAATGGCGCGGTCATTCATAGCACCTTGGGGCGC